CACAGTTCCCAACTCATGACAGGGTCTTTTGTTCTAATGATTCTCTTCATTTGAGTCTAAGTCTTATTAATCCCCCCACCCCATATTAGTATTGTCTTTTGTTACCGGGATCTTTATAATGTATAAACCAGATCTCTTTTTGTGTGGGGTTGGCAAGTGACTGGCCGTCAACCAGAGGGGCTGCAGCACTGTCTGTAGGACATACTGCTAATGGTTAAGATCCACCGAGGAAATTTTTAAGTGAAGAGGATTGTCTCCTTTCCTAGAAAAATCCTTGGTATACTGTATGTGCTCAATAAATATTTCATGAATAAAAAAAAAAAAAAAATTTCATGAACAAACTTTTAAAAACAAAAGGAAAAAAGTACATTTAATTGTAATTCAAGCAAACACACTACTTTGTAGAACGATGGTTTGGAACATGGATTGTACATGGAGACAGGGCATGAAAAGAGTGGACAATGGGCTAAAAGGCAGCATGCCTGCAAACTCATATAATTTGACTCAGCAATCTCAAAAGGCCTTCCTTCAAAGAAAAACAAGTATATACATGTACAGACTTTATACTCCAGTAAAACATGCCTGCCCTTGCGTGAAAACAAACACAAAATTCTGAAAATCTGCTTATGTGATGAAAGTACGATTCCTATAAAATGGATAGGATTGCTTTAGCACTAATGCAAAGGGGCAGAAAATCCTGACTGAATGGAATACAAATGTGGCAAGGGTCTTGTAATACATGAGTTGGTGCATAGCAACAGCCTGGCTGTATTCTTTCATGGGTGTTTAAAAATTAACCTTTCAGGCGATCCAACAAGCCCTGGAAAACAAATAAAACTTCCCCATATTGACATATTCTTTTACGCCAGCTGGGAAACTACACGGACCGTTTATCTCAGAGAAACCAAAGTCTAGGTCAAGAAGGTTTTCAGACTTTCTTAATCAGTGCTGAAACTGAAGCAACCGCATCAGTCTGTTCACAAAGGCCAACAAGCCCAGCTCTCTAGGCTCAGGAACAGTTTTAGCAGATGGCCATAATACTATTTCTTCAGGGAGAATGTTAACGGTGATTTGACTACAATGTATTTTAGCAGTAAAAGAAAATAGATTTCTCCTTAATACTAAGCCTATAAATATATGCA